GGTGACCCCACCCGTCTTTGGGGGTCCGGACTGACCCCTCCGAGGAGAAACAGCCCCAAAACCCCCCTGGGGACTCTGGGGCTCTGCATGGCTTGGCTGGAGATCAGCTCCAATTCCAGAGAGCCAAAACCTCTCCAGGCGGGTTCCTGAACCCAGGGCTTTGTTCCCGAAGTTCATTCCTGCTGAGGAGCCCCCAGCCCTGCATCCCCAGGAGTTTTGGGAATATTTTTCCGCTTTCCCATGCCGGGCCTGGTGTTTAACCAGAGCCAGGTGCCCGCGGAGCTGGGAGAGGCCCAGCCCCGCCCATCCCATCCCATCCCATCCCATCCCATCCCATCCCATCCCATCCCATCCCATCCCATCCCATCCCATCCCATCCCGGCCCAGCCCAGGGCTGCTCCCAATCCATGGATAAAGGCTCGGCTGTGCTGCGGACAGGCCGGGAAATCCTCCCCTCCCCGCGTGGAGCCGTGATGAAATTCAAGTTTTCTTTATTTATTTGCCCAGTTTTTCCACCTTGCTGCGGTTTTGCGGGTTTTTTTGAGGGAAAACAGCTGGAATTTGCCTGTGTGTGTTGGATATCCTGAGGCTCCCGGTACGCAAACAACCCAAAAAAGGCACTTGGAATAATTTTTTTTTTTTTTTAATGTATAACAGTTATGCCTGAGTTACAGAAAGACACCTACAGGCAGCAGGTAGTTAAAGCAAAACCAGTTTCTCTTCCTACTAAATCTACTCCATATAGCTGAATAAATTATGGTGCGGTTCCGTATTTACACACCCGGCGCACGGCCCGGAGCAGATGGCGATGAGGCGAACACAGAAGCGACAATCCCGCAGGAATTGGGGACAGGGAAAGCCCTACAGCGCTAGGGGGACCCGCGGGGTGCCGGGGGAGCGGGTTAGAAGCGTTAAATACACAAAGGAGCCGATCTGCTGCCGCCGTGCTGGGGCGGGACGGGGCTGGGGGGACAGAGCAGCCCCCTCGGGGTCAGTGCTGTCCCCCGGGGGTGGCAGGGGACACCGGCTGGGATATCTCCTGGAGCTGGGAGAGCGTCCCTGGGTGTGGAAAGTTGTGGCTGGGGCCATCTCTGGCCATGTCCACCTCTGCTGTGGTCACCTCTGGAGTGTGTCCATCTTTGATGTGTCCGTCTCTGCTGTGGTCACCTCTGGCTGTGTCCAATCCTGGCCATGTCCTTTGGTCACTGTTGCTCTGGACAAGGCTTTGGGTGATTTTTGGTCCCCCAGAGTCAGCAGCAGCAGCTGAGGATCCATTCGGTCACTCTTGGGTGGCCTCAGGTGGCCCCAGGTGGTCTCAGCCAGGTTCTCACTGTCCAGCTCTCCAGGCTTGGTCCCTGTTGGTGGCCCCAGGTGGCCCCAGGTGGCCTCAGGTGGTCACAGCCAGGTTCTTGCTGTCTGGTTCTCCATGCTTGGTGCCTGTTGGTGGCCCCAGGTGGCCCCAGCCAGGCTCCCAGTCCAACTGTCCTCGCTCTGTCCTGTCCCAGCTCCAGGCCCTCTCCTGGCCGTGTCCCCTCCCTGTCCCACCCCACCCCGAGTTTGTCTCTCGTCAGCAGAGCTGAGGTTGGCAATCCATGAAACAAAACTGAACCAACAGAACAAAACCAAAAGTTACTTTTGACTTTCATATATGAACAGAAAGAAGAAACAAAACCAAAAAAAAAGAAAAGGAAAAAAAAAAAAGCCCGAAATCAACCCCATCCCACCCCAAAGATTCTGGAATGTCTTTTGAAAACACACAATAGGCAGATTTCTACAGTTCATCCCCCCAACCCCTTTTTTAAATTTTTCTTTTTCTTAGTTTTTCTTTTTTTTTTTTTTTTTTTTTTTTTTTTTACTTTCCCGGGCCCCCCTGTGGGATTTTTTTTTTTTTTAGTATATAAAAAGAAAAAGTCAACTTTCTATAAACATACAGCACATGACCAAATTTCCCAACTAAATGTACAAAGTGCGACCACGAGGGGAAGGTCAGAGAAGAGCTATTTTGTTCCTCTAGGAATTCTATTTACAGCAGTGCCCGGCTGCCCACAGACTTTCTGGGGAAGGGGATTGGCAGAGAGGTTTCTGCAGTGCTCCCTCTTTTTTATTTCGAGTTTTTTTGGGGGGTCCTGCCCTCGGGTGAGGCGGCCAGGCCCGGCTGTCCCTTGGTGAGGAGGGGAGGTGACAGAGATCAGAGCAGGAGCAGCAGCCAAGAGGTCCCGTGGAATGATGGAAACTTCCCTTGGGGCTGAGCAGGCGGTCAGGAGGGAGCTGGGTGGGGAATTCCAGTGGCCAGGAGGAGGGAATGGCACCGGGTGGAATTCCAGCAAGGAGGAGAGATTGGCACAGGGTGGAATTCCAGCAGGGAGAATGGAATGGCACGGGATGGAATTCCAGTGGCCAGGAGGAGGGAATGGCACGGGGTGGAATTCCAGCAAAGAGAAGGGAATGGCACAGGCTGGAATTCCAGTGGCCAGGAGGAGGGAATGGCACGGGGTGGAATTCCAGCAGGGAGAAGGGAATGGCACGGGCTGGAATTCCAGCAAGGAGGAGGGATTGGCACGGGGTGGAATTCCTGCAAGGAGGAGAGATTGGCACGGGGTGGAATTCCTGCAAGGAGGAGGGAATGGCATGGGGTGGAATTCCAAAGGAGAGGAGGCCACAGGAAGGAAGGTGCTCCCAGCTGGGCATCGTCAGTGTTTGGCCTCTGAAATACTGTTAAATATTGTTAAATATTGTTAAATATGAGGAAATCTCTCATTTTAGCAGTTCCTGTGAACGGTGCCCAGACAAACTCCAGCAGGTGCTTCCATCCCGGTGTGGAGACAGGCCCGGATCCCTTCAGAGCTCCTGGGAATGACATTTCAGCCAGGACTGGAATTCCAGGGTTTCCCCTTCCTTTAGAGCACAAACACCACACACCAGCAGAGGCTTTGCTGCTCCCCCAGCAGAGCAGGGATCACCCGACCAGTCCAGGGCACTGGGGCTCCTCTGTCCCTCCAGGATTTGTGTCCCTTTGGCCTCTCCTCTCCACGTGCTGCCCCGGCAGGAATTGCTGCCCCGTGGAATGGAATTGCTCCCAAACTCTGGGATCCAGGGAATGTTTGGGCTCTGTGTAGGACACGAGAAGCGTTGGGATTTCTGGAGTGTTGAGGCTCAGGAGTCACCCGGATTCTGCTCCCGCATTACAGAGGTGCAGGAAAATCCCTCTGGGAATGTGGAGCCAGCTCTGCCAGAGCCGGGAAGCAAAGCTGGTGTGGCACTGATGGGATGCTGGGAATCCAGGACAGGTGAGCTGGTCCAAGTGGCTGCAGGGATAGTGGCCTGGTGGCTCGTGAGGAATGTGTGGGGGCCAGGCAAGGGAAGAGCCCAGGGAGATGTTCCAGATGTTCAGCTGGGTCGGGAAAGACGGGAGAGGCAGGAGGGAGGATGAGGGAAGGCTCCTTCAGCAGCCAGAGCAGAACTCTTCCCACGACGGGGTCCCGCAGTGCACCAAAAGCAGAAATTTGCTGTGAAAGTGGATATCTGAGGGGGTTCAGGGCATCACAAACCATGATAGCCCCTGGGGACACTGAACTAGCTGTGGGGACACAAACTCTGCCCAAGGGGGACACAAAACTCTGGCTGTGGGGACACAGAACTGTGCCTGTGGGGACACCATGCCTCTCCCACCTCTGCTCCTGCTTCATGGATGATGGATGATGGATGATGGATGGATGATGGATGATGGATGATGGATGGATGATGGATGATGGATGATGGATGATGGATGGATGATGGATGATGGATGGATGATGGATGGATGGATGGATGGATGGATGGATGATGGATGGATGGATGGATGGATGGACGGATGGATGAATGGATGGATGGATCTCAAGCTTTCTCCCAGCAGAGATAACAGAAATGCCTCAGGAAGGTGAATCCCATCCCTGCACCTGGGAGCACCTTCCCATCCTGGCTGCTGCAGAACCTCCTCAGCTCCTCTGTCCTGGCTCCACGCTCCCCCCTGGGCAGGGCAGTGCCTCCAGACCTGGCTCCATTCCCTTCCAGGTGACTCCCGTGGCAGAGCCCAGCTCTGCTCAGTGAGCTCCTGGCCCTGCCCTCTTGTCATTGCTCCCATGGCCCGCTCAGGGACAGCAGGGCCACCAGGAGCCCTGTCCCGTGTCCCCAGGGTGTCTCTGCAGCCCCTCCTCGTGCCGGGCCAGCTCTGTCCCTGCTGTCCCCACACTGCTGCCGTGTCCTGGCGGTGACGGTCGGGTCTGGGTTGGTCCCTCAGAGGAGAAGTGAACGTCGCCCGTGCCCTTTGTCTCCGCGCCTCCTGCAGCTCTTTGTGTTTCCCAAAGGTCCCAGGCTGCCTGGAATTCCATCCTGCCCCTGCTCAGCGGCCCCTCCAGCCTTGCTTTGGGAAGCCCCCGGTGAGAAGGGAGGGTAATGCTGGCCTGGGGGTTTGCTGTCCTTGAATAAATGTTTTTCTGCTTTCATTTGTCTTTGTGGTTTTTTGTTTGTTTGTTTTTAAACAAGTCCTTATATTTGGTCCATAGGTCTTCTGTGGTCCTGATTCACATCACCCTTAATGCTCAGCTTGGTTATTCCTTCCTATACAACATTCACCAAATTTACAGCAACGGAAAGAAAAGGAAACAAAATGAAACATTTCTTTTACAAAGAAAAGAAAAAAGAAAGCGCTCAATTCTCAATTTGGCTTCGACTATGCCAGCTACCTAGGGAATGCAAAGTCCTGGAGTGTGGGGGAATGCCGTGGCCAGGGGCTTTGGAGGGAGGGCTGGGGTTGATAAATGCACCCAAGCCGTTGTCTCTGGCCACAGGAGGAGTCAGGCCCCAGGGGCCGGACTCGCCTCTGGAATGCTCTGGAGAAGCCGGAGTCGGGGAGAGCTCCCCCCTCGTTCCCATCTCCTGGCAGCTGGGGTGGAATGGGTCAGGAAGGATCCCCGGGAGTGCTGGGGGTCTCCAGAGGGCTCTCCTGGACACGTGCTGGGCTCTCAGTAGGCCTGGCCCGTCTCCACTGGCAGCAGCCCCAGCACGGCCGAGTGCTCGCCCAGCTTCATGCGGCGCTGCGTGGACAGGCTGACGTTCTTGGCCAGGTAATCCACGGCGGCTGTGGGGGAAAAGGGACAGTGAGGACACGAGGGACATTCAATGACCAGGACATTGAGCCCTGCAGGGCAGCGGGGACAGCCTGGGACTGTCACACACACCAGGGACACCCTGCTGTACCAAAAAGCTCTCAGAGCAGGGATGGGACTGTCACACACACCAGGGACCTCCTGCTGTCCTGGGAAGGGCTCAGAGCTGGGATGGAGCTGCCAGGAGCAGGACAGGCCCTGCTGGGGCTCAGCACAGCCGAGGGCAGGGGAGGCCCTCAACTCTCTCCGTGAATGTGGACACACACATTTAGAGAGCTGGGGAATTACAGCTTGGAAATTCTTTT